TGAGACTTCAATCTTTCGAGTGAGATTCACTCCAAACAAAAGAAATCTCATTCCTTTTTTTTTTAAATGAATCTCATTCCAAAGAGTGAAATCTCACTCCGAGAAAAGAGTAAAAATCTACCACTCTTATTCAAGAATATAAATATTTTCATTTTTTTTCAATAGTGACAGTATTTTCACTCCTTTGGAGCGAGTAAAATTTCACTCTAAGAAATTTAGAGAGTATAAGTGATCATCTGAACGTAGTCTGTAATTGGCCATATTAAAATATTTTATATATCTCTCTTATACCTCAGAAACTATTACTTAAAATAAAAATTAATAAATAATTCTTTTTATTTAATTTTTTGAAAAACATTTTTTATTGTAATTTTATAAATCGTGAATTTTAGAATATCTTATATATATATGTACTTATTCTTAGGACATCTTATATATATGTACTTATTCTCTAATTTTTCAAATGATATATATATAGCTTAAAATTATAATAAAATTATACTAGAATTCAATTACAATAAATAAATAAAATTTTATCCTTTAATATGAATTACAGATTGTTTGAAAACTAGTTTTAATCGATTCGAGACACAATTCCTTCTCATTTACTATCACCTTTTCTTTCATTATCACGATTCAATTGGAAAGCTCAGTGTCAAGTGTCAAGTTTAAGTTTTACAGTTCAGGTTTTTCATTCTGCGGCACGCACGAATATACGTAGACGTTGCTACGCGCGCGTGTCCACGCTTATTATAGATTGCAAACGTGCCTCCCTCTAATTCAATCATTGTGCATAACTAAATGAAACGAAACGCACCGTAATCCCCTTGACTACAAAGTGCGCATATATTTTACGTACCCTTTCTGATTATGTAAAATTTAACATTAGGTATGCGTGTCGAACGTGCACTAAGTTGTGCGTGCTTTCAGAAATCGCGCGATCGCCTCGTCGCGTGAATGAATTATCTGCTCATTTTATTGTAGGCAGATAGTACTCATTGTATCGAGCAACGTGTATTATTATGATTATTAATTAGGTCGTTTGTAAGCTGTGAAACAATGAACGAACGAGAAACGAGAGAGTAAACTACAATTCGCAGTAACGTAAAATAGAATATAAAATTTCTAATATTTTTATTATGATTTATAGAATTCTCTGAATTTCTCAGACATGTAAGATTTCAGAAACTTTTGTGCGGAAATTTTATACCGCAAAATGTTTTTTTCTAGACACTAGAATGACTACAGAAACAGATAAAATTTAAAAAATTCACGTATGTACACAAAAAGAACGGTTTTGTTAAAATATGCAAAAATTTAGCTAGAAACAGAACTGAAAATAATTTTGTTAGATCATCAAAATACACTTAAACGTTGATGACAATACTGCAAAAAGTTTCAACATTTGGCAACCTGTTTAAGCATCTTACATAATTATTTTGATGGTCCAACAAAATTTATTTTCAGATTTCTATATATCTAACTAAACTTTTAGATATTTCAATAAAATCATCCTCTTCGTGTAGCTTATTTTATTATTGCCAGAAGCATTTGTCTTACTAACAGTTTTTATATTCGAATAATAAAATATAATAAAGCAATTCGAAAAAAAATGGAATGAGTCTCCGGAACTGAGTTACCATTGCTCCTTTATCTAACATTAGAGTTGTTGCTATCACATCAAAACTTTTTGCAACAGTTCATTATACTTGAGTTTCCTACATAATTATTTTGATGGTCCAAACAAAATTATTTTCAAATCTGTATTTATATACATATAGCTAAAATTTTAGATACTTCAGCAAAATCATTCCTTCCATATAGGAATCCCTTCAGAATGAACGTAGCTTTCGAGTTCGAGCAACCCTCGGTTAAGCTGGACGCGCGGCGTCGCGTCGCGCGGCAAGCGTCGTAAAACGGCGTAGCATGCCGCTGATTGGCGATAAGGAGGCGACTGTCTGATAACCCGTTTTAGCCCGAGAGATTGTACAAGACACGCTCTCCACGTAACTCGTTTTCGATGTTTCTGAGAGCGCTGAACTGGTAATAGTGGCGTGACGCGCGTGATGTAACGACGGTGAAAAAGTCCGCGAGGCGCGAGGTCCACTTCTCGAGCGTAACGCGTCGGTTCCGTCCGCAGGAACAATGCGCTGTCGCCAGATCGCGAGATCGTCGACAAATAATTGCTCAGTTGGAAGTCGTGAGGATGACTAACATTTATGCGAGCCATATATGGAAAAGCTGTCAAAGGGCGACGTGCCCACACACGCGTGAACACGTTGTGTGCGCGCGTTGCGTAAAATTGCGCGCCGTCGCGTCGCGTCGCTCTGTCTCGACACGATTTGCGAAGCCTGTTCTTTTTCCATACCCCAGGACTGAACTTCTGGCACAGTTCATTTTTCTTCTTTTATTCTTCACATTGGAGAGAAAAGGGCGAAAGATGAATCATGCAAGAAGTTTAGTCCTAGGGTATGGGAACAGAACAGGCCTTCGATTTATGTCTCGCCGCTCGGCGCGGAATGTGGCGACGTTCAGAATCCGCGTCTCTTCAATCAACCAATTAGTTAATTGTGGCTTCGATATCGTTCAATGCACCCGTGATCACGAAATTGATTCATATCTTCTCTTCTTCTGATCCATATCTTTCTTTTCTTCTGAGAAAATTAATTATTCAAAACTTTTCTATGCATTCTTTGAAAATAGAAATATATATCATCTTTCTCTGAAAAGAGCGAGAAAGATGATAATGTTTTCCTTGAATAATAATAAACGATAACAAGTAATATCCGACGATTACAAAGAAATTACGTTTTAGATCAATTAAAAATAATACATAGATATATAAACGAAGCTGATAATTTTAGATAATATTTTTTTTTAATTATAAATTAACATTTAATTCATAGTACGTAAAGATGAGTAATCCTTATAGATCTTTTGCTGAATAGTTATAAAACATTTCACGCTAATAAACGAATATTATCATATTTATTAAATAATAATATAAATCAGTGTACTGCGCTTATTAGGTGGCTGCATCTATTCAATTGATTCGACTGATTTTAATTAAAGGAATCGTACGTATATTTTATGAAATTTTATAAAACAATGAAACAATTTAGTAAATGAAAGATAAAAATAAATTAATTAATTCGCGTACGTTTACTACTTAATATGCAATCTATTCTGAGCTATTTACAGATGCCTTAAGTTGTAGTCTTTTCAAAAAGTAATTGGAATTGGAAATTTATACCTACACTCCGTATAAAAATGAATGTTATGAATATTATATATGAAATAATTTAATAAGTTCAAATTTTTATATTTAACGATATAATTTTATAGTTTAAAAAAAAATTTTCTCATTTTATCTTAATTAGTCTTTAAAAATTTATCTACTTTTTAAAACAAACAATATATATTTGATAGGGCTCTCGAAAAACAAACAATAATAATAAAAAGATATTAATAAACGGGCAATGAGAGCATTCACTTGGAGAGCAATACATATAGGGTAATTCCGGCAAATACGCCGCGCTGGGATTTACGTCGCAGAAGTCAGAAAAAATAGAAGGAGTGGGGGTAATTTTCCCGTAACTACTCTATTACATATCTTTATGTTATATTAGTATTGTGTTATGATTTCAGCTTCTTACTGTTAATATTATTGAAATTATTGTGAGTTGAATCGATTTGTCACTGTAATAAGTAGTGCCATCATAAATTATAATCTACTATAAAACGATTACTGTAGGACGTGTAAAAGACTTAGTGGTTATTTCGTGATACATACGTGTAGAGGAATAGTAAAGCATGTTGTATAGCAAAATACAAGTGCTTTGCTTTCGTATTCTTTGTTTAGTTTATTGTCTTGTATATCCTACCTATTTAGGATATACGGCATTTTTAGCGGGCGGGATTTATGTCCAAAGCATACAAAGTGCGCAAATTGAATTCAATGCACTAAATGCAATAAATGCATTACATGAAACATGTACCTCATGTCATAACGCTTGTAATATATGTAGGAAGATTGTAATTATTATCTATTACTTCTAATTATATATACATATTTATCATTCTTATTCCTTAATAAAACTTTAAACGCATTTTATAAGTTATTGTGTTATTTTACGTCTTATTTATGTGCATTGTTTGTAAATTTTTCATGAGCCGTACATACCCCCCCTCCCCCTATGAGTAGTCGTATATCCCACCCCTATGATAGGATATACAGCAAAAATGCAAGAGTTTCAAAAAGTTCATTTTTTAATACGAAAAATAAATATATATTTCAGATTTCTAATATTTTTTTCATAGTAGTAGACAATACAAAGTTTTTACTGATATAGTTCGTTTACTTTAAACATAGTAAATAATACTTAATAAATCAAATTTTTGATAGGTGCGACGTATATACCTAGAGTTACTCTAATATGTGAATAAAAAACGAGAAACTACATAAAATCAATACAATTAATATTGTTGTTCATTATTGTATTCAGTTAATCACTTAAGCAACGAAGAGATTTTGTGGCATTTCTTAACTAGGAAATAGGAATATGCTCATCCTCAGTCGAACGCAGAGATGATATCCAACATTGCGGATTAGAATATTGTATGAAAATTATATGGCATTGCTGAAAATGGTTTGAAGTAAACCGAACTTTGTAACACACATAATGTAAAAAGTATTGAAAATATATTATATGTATTGCGCTCCAAGTACTGCGCTGTAAATGCTCTCATTGCCCGTTTATTAATATTTTATTATTATTGTTTATCTACTTTTTATTCAAATAATTTTTGATCCATCTGGAAACGCGGTAGTGTCTCGGCGCTAAGCATGGCGCGATAATATAGTCGCCGAGAAGAGAACTTGTATTACTTTTAAATATAATATAGAAAAATACGCAATTTTTTAATAAATTTTTCATTTTGTTAAAAAAAAAATACATAATACATTTTTAATATACAATCTATTCTGATTTAAGTCTTACCCTCTTTGTTTTATCGAGTGATGGTCTCATGCGGTATTCGGTTTCCTCGATCAGGCACCCTAATAAAAAAAGTTGATAGAGAACGATTGAAAACGATAGGATTTCTATCAATTTGTATCGTTTTCTATAAACTTATATTGTTTTTTATCGCCGACTTCGCGAGCATCAGATTGATCGAATACGAATCCTATCGTATTTTATCAAGCTCTATAAAATTTATACAAGATTTGATTCAAATTAGTGAATTCACGAATCATATTCCATATTCGAAACGATAGAATATTTTCTATCGTTCTTTATCAACTTTTTTTACCCGGACAGACAAACACGTGCTCTTCTTGAAACTGCTTCCGCTCTTGCGTGATTCTTTAGTACCGAAGATCAACGGCACGCCGATGAGTCACGCGCGCGGGTGTGAATATCCTCTCGCGCGAGCTAAAATAGAATCAGTCTTGAATTTCCATTTGAAGAGTTCAGGTAAATTATTGTTGTGATCTCTCAAAGATTACAACTTTTCCCCTTCGCGACAAGAACTGATAAGTACTCACTTTGGACACACGTTATTTCAGATGCAGTTGCATGCATAATTTTAATTACACGCTGACTTTGTAACACGCGCACATGCTCACACTTTCTTTTCACGACTTCTCTCACGGCGAGAGCCGACGACGAGGTGGCCGAACAGCCGGATAAGCGGACACTCGGAGAGCCGTCACTTAGAATTTTCTCTCGTTCGCCAGCCGACGACTCGCGATTCGCGCGCGCGGAACGGAACGGAGGCGTTCCTCTGGATCTCCGGCGTGATTTTTCCTCAGATATGTTGAGCCCCTCCTTACGTTAGCCACGCTTGAACGAAAGTGCGGATCAAGAGTTTAATCGCACACCCCAGAAGCACTGTCTTGTCGCACGAGGAACGGTCTCGTTTTCACCCTATTCACTCTGCTGCACACGAGAAGAAAAACGAAATGAAAATCGCGAAAAATGGATCGATGATTTTCCGCCTCGTTCTGGGCCACCTGCACACGTCCATAATGTATGTGATTTGTACGCGGTAATATCGGGCACTTCCTAGTGGCGAATATTCCGGTTTACGGGGACCGCGCTCTCGTAATAATGTTTCGTTCCTGGCGTCTAGTTCTCTCGAAATAGCGCGCGAAGCGGATTTAACTAGTTTCGTGACTGTACACGGATCGATTTATGGACAAAACCTGAATTAGAATGATTAAAACTGCATAATTAGCTTGTATAGCGTAAGAGAATCCAGGGTCCGACTTCCCCTTCTCTAAACGTAACTATAATTCTGTTTTTTATTCCTGCACTAGACTGCACTAGAATTCTCTTTCTCGCTTTCGCCAAATATTAAATATATATATATCTATCTCACTTTAAGTTGCAAAAGTGTACATTCGTTTAGCCACAAAAAACAGATCCTGTGGAGACTAGAGACTTTATAACAGAGTCTGGCTAAGTAATTTTCTCAGAATAAGAGTGAAAAAGAAGGGTATATATGCTGTTTTTTATATATGCTGTCTCACTTCTAACTTACTAAAGTTGACAAAAACGACGAGCTAGTCATCTTATGTCAGACTGTTTTACTCTTTAAAACTTTTAAGAGTAGATCTCACTCTGAGAAGTAAAATCTCACTCTTAAAAATTGAAAATTGAGCCACCCTTTTTCGAGATTGGCTCAATTTTTACTCTTTAGAGTGAGATTCTACTTCAAAGAATTTAAAGAGTAGAGTCAAGATTGAAATATATTATATGCCTTTTGATGCACTAAATAATTTAAAATATTAATTTATACGAGATATTTTACTTAAATTAATAGGTTACTAGATAAAAATTAATCTGACGACTTTTTTGTTTTTTATCTTAATGAGTGCATAATTTGTTATCGTATTTAGTTTATACATTGACTGTAATCTTTTTTTCGGGCAGTTGATGAAAATTTATAGTTTTGTTTCGTTAATCGAAAAGAATATACATTATTCTCCGAAAAGAATATATTTTATCGAATTATAGAGCACACGTTATCAAACACGCGAAAGTAATTCTTCTCAATATACACGCTGTAAAAATAAATTTTCGCTTTTGACATCATTTCTGTAGATATGCAATAACAAACCCATTATGCTAAACTGACGATTCGCTAGGAAAATTTATTGCAGCGACATAATGCAATAAGTAAATTGATATAATTCATTACTGATAATTTACTTCCGATCTGCTATTTACGCAAAGATGTAATGCCGGTATCTACACATGATAGAATCATGATAGATCACGAAATCCGACTTGAGAAAGTCAAGATGGGCGCACACATTAATAACGTTTTTTTTTTCGTCCAGTGAACATGCGGGGTGTACATGCAAGAAATGAAGGAGCCAACGCAATCTTTTTTTCAGTAATAAAAATTCATAATTTCTCCTCTTCAATTTTCAATAAACGTCACCTAATACATTTGTCCTTTTTTGTACCATATCATATGTTTAACATATGCACGGAGTAGGGCGTGCGCGTCCTTTCTTTTTACGCTCGCACGCGGAGAGAATAGTGCGGCAGTAGCGGCAATATATATCGCGTTATACAGAATCGAGGACCGGCGTCGTCGCGAATAGACGAACATAATTTCGATAAATAATTCGCTCGATTGCGTATATTGCGCGTGGACAACACTCGTAACGTCAACTAATTAGCAGCCGTAACGGTATTACGTTCGCACTTTAACACGCTCTATCTATCAACGCCACGCTCTCACTTGACGCTAGAACACCACATTTGGACTCGAATGAAAAATATCCATTTATTGAAAATGTATCCGGAAAAGCATAATCTTGTAAAGAATACTTTGTTACGTCTCTGTCTCTGTAAGTTTGATCAAAATCCGTCGTATTCTTGACTTAAAATTTTCGGAACATTTTGCGTTAAAAATCAATTCTTTGTCTATTCAAAAACTTTATACATCTTCTTTCTTTTTTATACCTTCTTCTATACTATATCTAATAGCGAATTCGGTCACTTGTATTACACTAGATTAGTGCAAACTAAAAGCTGCTATACATGAAATTGGTAAAGTTAAATGTGAAAGCATATAAATATTTTAACACTAGAACTGCTGATGGTATTTTGCTAGAACTGCCAATTTGATAATTTCCTATCCTTTTCTATTAGAAAAGAGTTTATTTTGATACTATTTGCATTGTTAGAATTATTTGTATTATATTCACATATTTTTTATTTTCTGTGCTGCATATCTAATGCAAAAAAGAAAAAAATAATTAGCGAAATCAAAATGGCAGTCAGCAGTTCTAGTATTAAACGATAAATATTTAATAATGATATGTCATATTATTTATCAAAATATACAGGTATTATTTCATTGTCAAAGTTAATCACATTATGCCATTTAGATATCTTATATAAAGCAGCCTCTAATGTGCACCAGCAATGTTAATCCAGGATAGTGCGAATTCACCATTATATTTTTTATAAAACTTCGCAAAGGAGAATACTAAAAAGGAGCCGATCTTTGGCCAAAAAGATGTAAGTAAAAAAAAAAATAGTGTTTTTTGTATAGATTTTGATCTTCTGAGCACGAACATGGTGTGTTTATCCAAAATTCAATGTTCTTTCTCAATTTTCAAAGTGTTCTCCAAACTTTTTAATAACTCCATCGTATCCAGGGGATCAAAATATCCAAAAATCACTATTTCTTTTACTTACACCTTTTTGGAGATGTCGAAATATACAAAATATACAAAAAATACTATTTCTTTCACTTACATCTTTTTGAACAAAAATCGGCTCTTTCTTAATGTCTGCTTTTCCTCAAGTTTAAATAAAAAGGAAATTCCGATAGAGGCGATCGAGTTCGCCACATTTGTTAGATATCAATGTGGTGTTCGAGACCGGCTTTTTGTGTGTAGTACTTGAAAATTAATACAATGACAACACATCACAATGATGAAATCGCACATGCTCATACATTTCGATTTCATTGATCTCTTAATCGAATCGCGAAATGTTAGGAAAAGTTTTACTCCAAAAATGTCAAAAATCTGTGTTTACTACGTAGCACTTTACACAGACATGCACTCAAGTATAAAAAAGACGTTCTTTCAATCGTCGGTATGATTCAGTGTAACAGTATAAGTTAAGAAAACGTCCCTATATGGTCGTTTCAATTCTCTTCAAGTGTCTACCTTGTACCTCGGGAAATAAAGATTTGGAGTAACATTCTCTCTAAGATTACCGATTCAATTCGTGCTCAATTCTCTGAATAAGTCGAAATATCGATACCAAATATTATCGGATCCAATAATATTCGATAATATCGATATTCAGTGTTAAATACATATCCTTCCGGTTGCATCGCCACAATATTTCTCTGCGTGTGAGTGTGCGTGCACGCGCATTGCGCGCACGTCGCACACATGCTACTGTACATCCACCGCGTAAAATTCGTTCCGCCTACATATCGAACGTACGCGTGCAAAATGTCACGCGAGCACACGCGCATTTGTCGATGCTATTTATATAATCTAATAATATATAGTGTAACTCTCTGCGCGGGATTTTCGACACGGTGCGCGTGCACGCGTGAGTGCATGCGGTTTTCGCATACGCGGGAACGCAGGTGGCCGTGTGTATACATACATGCCATAGTCGCGTTTGATTTGGACTACGAAAACGTGCAATCTATATTTCTTGCAGCGAAATCTCACTCCAAGAGAGTGAAAATACAACCACTCTTGAAAACAAGTGAAAATATTTCACTTCTTGAAAAAGAGTGACAATTTTCACTCATTTTAGAGTGAATTTTCACTTCAAAAGAGTAAAAATCACACCCCAAAAAAAAGTAAGATTTCATTCCTTTGAAGTGAAAATTCACTCTAAAAAGAGTGAAAATTGTTAGTCTTTTTCAAGAAGTGAAGGATGTTTGTATTTTCACTTTCTTGGGGTGAGATTTCACTGCAAGAAATTTAGAGTATATGCATAGCTTCTTCTTTTCTTCTTCTTCTTCTTCTTCTTCTTTTCTGCACGATTGTAAAACGAAACGTAAGTAACGTGCGATCACGTAAATTGTACTACGGTAATATTGTAATCGTGATAGGTGGTAGTAATTAGTAATAGCAGAGCAGCGGTGGCGAATAGTGTAATAGCACTGTTGGTTTTCATTATCGATATATCAACAATTCTTGTCCTTCTCTTTAATCTTTTTCAATTTTTTCTTTACCAACGACCGCGCGCGATTTATAATAGTAATTAATTATAATCGTTACGATGTCCTATGTACACAATGCACACGATGTTACGCGTGCATTTGCCACTCAACACGATTTACAACGAGCTCCTCGGTCTATATGTGTACATATAGATTTTTTTTACATATGTAATAATGCACACATACGCATATACGTTTGTTGCGTGCACGTCTGTAGGCATATATTTTCTCTCAAACATTAATTACATCGATCCAATAATGATCGTCACCGCCATAATGAAATTAGTTACATACATATAACTTTCACACACACACACACACATACATACGAGAAACACTCGCAAATCGCTTGCGCTTTGACAACACATCGCGCAAGACACGACGGCCCGAAATTACTTTTGCATTACTTAACGTGCTTCCTAAGTACTATCCTGCACAGTCAGTTCCATCAAACTAAACGCTTAAATCCACTTATACAAACTAGCTGTAGCAGACGAGACGCGTTTCTTTACACATCAATAAGAATTCTCTGTTTCGGATAATCAATATATTAATTAGTCTATCTAACAATGTATTAATTATTCCTTGATGAATACATTAATTGCGCGAGCTCTCGGCGAGACTGCAGCGTGTAGAGAACCCATAACTTTGTAATTATGAGCTTTATTTTTAGTTTAATTCTAGCGTTTGTTAGTTTAATTTCTAGAGTTCGTTACATACGTATGTATATATGTATATTTGTATATATATATATATG